GAAGTTCTGGCTGAGGTCAGGCACAAGGAAAGAGCCCCCATCCCACCCTCTGGGGCCTGCTGGGGTGAACCAAGCTCTGGGCTGCCACAGGCTCTTCCCTGGGAGCAGGACTGAGCTTTGGGGCAGGAGCTGCCAGGCTCTGGGGCAGCAACTGGAACCCGGGCCGAACCTCACAGTTCCATCGTTTGGGTGCGATGACAGATTAACTGTGGGGAGTGAGCTGGCCAGGAGCAGGTTCTGGACTTAGGGGGCCTACTTAGCAAAGTCTCTGTGGGGTCATTTGGGGGTGGAGTGGATGCTTAGCTCACCTGCCCCCCACCTAGGCCACTACTCAACCCAGACGGGGGCTCCTTCAACACCCCCCCACCCCAAGTCATGCATCTTCTGAATTTGAGCAGCTTAATGTGGTCCCTTGGAGCAGAATGATCCAGAAAGGACAGTCATTAGGGCCAGGGTCCCCCAGGGTATTGGGGCAGAAGCAGGCCTAGGTCCTGGGACTTGTGACTCCCAGCCCAGTGCTCATCCAGCCACACCAAGGGTACTAGAGTCAGAGGAAGGCCTCCAGGACCCCACCTCCCCACCTCTGCCCTTTAAACGGCTTCCTGTCCCACCTGGCAGCAGCTGCAGAAGTTCAGCCCCCCAACCACTGTGAGGGGCCACAGTGGGCCCCCATCTTCAGCTGCGGAAGAAGGCCCCACTATGCATCCCCACCCCCACCCCAGGGTTTATCCCGGGGGCAGGTGCTCCAGATCTCAACCGCTCAACCTGGGTGGTGCTGGGAGGGCAGACAGGAAGTGGGTCGCTGGTCTGACAGTGGAGACTGTCCCAGCCTGATGAGGGAGAGGAGGCTCCACCACAAGGAGTTCCTGATATGACAAGGGACCCACCAGTGGGACCTCACACACTGAGTTAGAGGCGGTGGTTTTCTGAGCCCTTGGGAGACACCTCCCAGGTACTTACCTGTCTTTGTCCTTCAGAGACCGGTGAGCACCCAACCCTTGCTGCTCTCATTGTCTTTTCCCCTTGGCCCTCAAAGATTTCTTACAGGAGCAAAAGAAAAAAATGTCAAGTAGCAAGTGGTACCAATGAGCAGAAGGGCTCACGGGAGCAGGGCTCAGAGGCAGGGGAGGTCCCTCTTTTACTCATTCACTCACTCATTCATTCATTCACGCACACACTAAACAGATGTGTGCTGAGTCCCCCCTCTGCGCCAGGCCCCATCTGGGTGTCCATGCCAGGAGAGAGGCAGGCTGACCTGGGTTTGCAGCCCTCCTTCCCCAGGGTGGAGACTGACAAAGGTCGCTCAGCGTGATGAGAGGGGAGAAGCTGAAATGTGGGCGGGGAGCTCAGCGCGGTAGCCCCAGCCCTAGCATGGGCTGGAAAGAGGCCACTCTAAAGGAAGGAGCAAGGTTCTGTGGGATCATAGAGGAGAGGCCCCTGCAGGAGGCACCTGGAGAGGAGGGTGGAAGAATGGCAGGCATTAGCCAGGCAGGGGGTGGTGGGAGAGGAGATCCAGGCAAGAGGAACAAGAGTCACAAAAATCAGCTTCCTGGAGGAGATGTTTGGAGGTCTCTGGCCACCACAGTCCTGCCCACCTGTGAAATCCCATAGTGTTTGACCTTGGATCCTCCCACAATTCCTGGGAAGAATGAGACCCAGCCAATGTGAGGACAAGGTGCAGCCTCTGGCAGGATCGTGGTTGACTATTCCCAAGGACTTCTGGAGGGATGGGTGGAAAGGGACATGAGGTTGGCCCTATCTGCCACCCTACCCAGCAGCACCTTCCTCCCATTCTCCACCATCCTGTCCCTTAGGGGACACCCCATGGGGCCCAGGCCTTCCTGCACTGCTCCAGCCCTGGCAGCCTGTGAGGGAACCCTGAATCAGTGCCTGAAAAGAGCCTCCCGGCCCCTACCTGGGCCCACCCAGCAAAGACTCTACTTACTGCCATTTTACCAATGGGGAACCTGAGGTCCCCAGAGTTAGGTCACTTCCTTAAGGTCTCAGAGCATACTTGCATCAGGGCTGATTCCAGAGTGTTCTACCTTGCCAATAATTGTCATCTATGGCTATGGCAGGCCAGTAGCTTGGAGGGGATGAGAGGAAAATTGGGAAGGGGTTGGAGGCCAAGACAGACACACCAGGCAGGAAGCATCCAGGCCAGCACAGGGGACCCAGGCCTGGGGCTTGGACCTCCATGTTTGGGGCAGCACCTCGATGGAGGTGGGCAGCCAACCCTTTGTGTTCCTAACACTCCCACTGCACTCCCAGCCTGACAGTGGGAAGTCCAGAGGGCTCTGCAGCGTCCGGGGGAAGGAACAGCATGGCCCCTGGTCATCCTCCCCTGCTGCCGGCCCCTTCCCTTGAGTTAGAAGTAGCTGGTGCAGATCCAGGTCCTGATTCCAAAGTCCAGTACTCTGCCCACTGGCCCTGCGGGCTCCCCTGGCCAAGGTGGCAAGCAAGACTTCTCGAAGGAGGGGTTCAGTGGCAATTTAAGTTATGGGTCGCCGTGCCTTGGCTCCCAAGGCTCCCCCGCCTGGTGTCTGTCCACCTTACACTCTTTGACAGCCCAGGGCACAGGCCAGAAACTGCAAATATGTGGCTCCTGGAGACTTCCTTCTTATTTGCCTCCTCTTGAGGGAAAAGAATGCTGAATGACAGAACCCAGGGTGGAGGGGGTATGTGCCAGTGCAGCCAGGGGTCTCCTGCTGATGTCTACTGGGAATGGAACTGCCATCTAAGACGGGCCATGGCTGAACGACCCAGCTCCAGCTCTCCCAGCCTGGGGTGAGGGGTGAGCTGGTGATCAGGAGAGTCAGGGGGGCTCAGAGGGCACCTCGGTACCAGGTGATATCCACTCTGCCCCAAATGGAGCCACCAGGCTCTCCCAGGAGAGGTCTTCATGGCCCCCTTGGCTTTGGGCAGCTGCTCTCACCCACGGTGGCTGCTGTTCATTGGCTGCTTTGGCCACCAGTGCTCCTGGCCCCACCTCCATGCCCAGGCTCAGATCTGGGCACCACCTTGCCCTCTGCAGAAAACACTAGGGCTATGCCAAGGAAACCATGCTCCTTCCAGTACCTGGCAGCAAGGTGCCCAGAGGGGTGGCAGCAAGTTTTGTCCTCTCATCCAAAGAGCCTGCCAAAAGAGCTTGGTCCACACCCCACCCTGCTTCTGGGACTCCCCAGGGGGCCCTGGCTCTTGTGAGGGCATTGCTTCCTTCCTCAGCAAACCGTACTTACTAGTGCCAAGTTCTGTGATACGGACTGCGGTTACAGAGCTGAATCGGACACCAACTCTGCCCTGGAGGTCACACAGTCAAGCTGGTGGTGGTGATTGGAGGGCTTGGGGACAGGAACAGACCTGTAAACAGACAAGTGCCATCAACGGCTACTACTGTAGATGGAGGCCCAAGGACAGGACGGGGGTCAGCTCTGCACAGGGAGGGGTTTGGGGAGGATGGCTTGGGACATTCAGAAAATCCTAGAACATTCACCCTGGAAGGGACATCAGGAAGCAAAAGCCAGCCCTCTCATCTTGTAGACGGGGAAACAGGCCCAGAATGGGGAAGTGACTTGGCCAGGGTCACTTGGTGAGGTAGCCACAGGCTCTCAGACTCCTGGTTCCCAGCCAGGCCCCTTTTGACATACCAGGTGCCCTTTCTGGTTTTCTGTACCCCAATCTTTGTGTCCTGCCTCCACTTTTGGAAAACATTTGCCATCTCTATCCAGCGGTCACCCAAGAGGTGCCCATTCAGGAGCCGGGCGCTGCCAATCCTTCCTCCAGAGGCGGCATGGCCTCCTCTCAGGCCTAGAATGGGGTGGTTGCGTTTTTTCTCTCTCTCTCTATCTCTCTTGCATTTTTGTGAATCTAATGATGAACTTATGCTACCACACTTTTCCCTTCTCTTACACACCTTACCTACTAAAGGAGGAAGTGCCACTTTATTGGTAAGTGGACGTTAACCAAGAGGGACTTAAAATCAGAACTTAAAAAAAAAAGAAAAAAGAAAAAAAAAAAAAGAAAAGAGAGAAACAGAAAGACAGTCGGGTGCTACTGACAGCTCCACAGCTCTCTGCAGGGCCGGAAAACAAAGAAAGAAAAGTATTAACAGAAAAATGGCAGGTTCCCCAGGAGATGAGACATTGTTTTTGATTTTGGTATCTAATGACATTTGTGGATTTTGTTTTTTATTTCCGTTTTTCCTCCCTTTCTTCGGTTCAGTTTTGAGTTCAGTTGTCCCCTCCCCCTCCCGTCCCCACCCCATCTGTGTGCCGTGTGACCCCTCCATCCGCTGCCCACCCCTCTGCGCTGGGGGCCCGGCCTGGTGGGCTGGCCCGGCCCCGCCCCCCGGTGCCGCTCTCTCTTCTCTCTGCCGGGAATCGTCCGTCCCATCGTCCCAGCCGGGGGGCAGTGCTAGCCCCGGTGCCTGTCCTGGAGCCCCTCCCTTCCAGCCCCCCACCCCCACCGCTCCGTCCCTCTTGTGTTTTGCATGCCGAGAACCTTGCATGAGCTGCACTGTTGAGGCCAGAAGGTGGACACTCAGGAGAGGCAGAGGCAGGGCAGGCGCGGGGACCGTGTGTGCGATGCTCCGGGACTGGCAGCCCTCGGCGGGGCCCGGTGAAAGCCCTCTCTCCTTCTCTCCCCCTCCCCACCCGCCCGCTCTCTCGCCCCCACCCTCTCGCTCCTCTCGGCCTGTCCTCTCTCTGCCTCTGCTCTCGTCCTCTGTCTGCCTCCACTTTTCCCTCCCTGCTTCTCTTAACTTCCCCTGGCTCTGTCCCTGTCTCTTTCTTCTGTTCCTCCTCTGCCTCCTCTCTCTGACTGTGTCTGTCTCTCTCTGTGTCTCTGCGCGTCTTCCTCTGCCTTCCGATTTCCAATTTCTCTGCTCTCTGTTTCTGTCTCTCTGTCTCTGCTCCCACCTGTCGCTGCTGTCTCCCGTCTCTGGCGCTCTCTCCGTCTCCCTCTCCACCCCTCCGTGCCCTCTCTGCCTCTCTCCCCATCAGAAGCCCAGCTCGCTCTCGCCCAGGGCCCGCGACAAAGCGGCGGCCGCCGCATCCACGCCGCCTGCGCGGGGAAAGCAGAGCCCGAGCCCGCGCTCGGCGCCGTCGTCGCAGGGTCGCGGAGGCCGCGCGGCGGGCGGGCCGGCCAGG